AGAACCTACACGTAAGTACCCAAAATAATACTACCATCCTAGCATAACTTATTGAACAAGGATCATGGAAGAAATGCACTACATATTCGAACAGCAAATTTAGAATTTTGGTTCGTTAATGCAGCCACAAAATTACATAAGTTTAACATTATTGAAATTTGAAACAATAAATACATATAAATTCAACACCAATGGGAGCATTTTGACAAACAATGAGGTTTAAATTTATGGGAAGTTCATCCGTGGCTTCATTAATTTGGCCCACAAACCCCATAAAGAAACACACAGTTAAAAGATCAATATAACCCAGTCCCAAGTTCAGATAGGATGACTGAATCAAATTGAGGTAATCTCAAATTGAAATAGATGCAGCCTTATTATGAAAATGTAATAATCCGACTCTCTTATATGCTTTCAACCTCTCATTATATGTGTAATTACATGTTTAATGTGAAATTCCAGGTGAAATTAAGTTTAATTGTGTGAATTATATAACTATGGATTTATATCTGTCAGTTGTGTGAAAAATTTGTTACAATTGCGACGTTTGGATTAGTAATTGAAAGCCTTAGAAGTCCGATAATCCGAAATTGACTTTATAACTGTGATGAGCATGATTTTTAGATCACAAATGAATTTTTGTAAAAATTTGATTCGTAATGATTAAATTGATTAATTTGGGGTCAAACCTTAAATAGTCCATTAGACTCTTGACCTAGGAACTTCTCATCACAAAAGAAAATATCTCCTGAGAAGGAGAGAGTGCTAGAGAGGGAGAGAAGAGAGAGGAGGCTTCAACAAGAGTGAAGGTTGAAGGAATTGGGAAGAATTTTAGAGATTGGAATACTACCATCCTAGCATAACTTATTGAACAAGGATCATGGAAGAAATGCACTACATATCCGAACAGCAAATTTAGAATTTTGGTCCGTTAATGCAGCCACAAAATTACATAAGTTTAACATTATTGAAATTTGAAACAATAAATACATATAAATTCAACACCAATGGGAGCATTTTGACAAAAAATGAGGTTTAAATTTATGGGAAGTTCATCCGTGGCTTCATTAATTTGGCCCAAAAACCCCATAAAGAAACACACAGTTAAAAGATCAATATAACCTAGTCCCGAGTTCAGATAGGATGACTGAATCAAATTGAGGTAATCTCAAATTGAAATAGATGCAGCCTTATTATGAAAATGTAATAACCCGACTCTCTTATATGCTTTCAACCTCTCATTATATGTGTAATTACATGTTTAATGTGAAATTTCAGGTGAAATTAAGTTTAATTGTGTGAATTATATAACTATGGATTTATATCTGTCAGTTGTGTGAAAAATCTGTTACAATTGCGACGTTTGGATTAGTAATTGAAAGCCTTAGAAGTCCGATAATCCGAAATTGACTTTATAACTGTGATGAGCATGATTTTTAGATCACAAATGAATTTTTGTAAAAATTTGATTCGTAATGATTAAATTGATTAATTTGGGGTCAAACCTTAAATAGTCCATTAGACTCTTGACCTAGGAACTTTTCATCACAAAAGAAAATATCTCCTCAGAAGGAGAGAGTGCTAGAGAGGGAGAGAAGAGAGAGGAGGCTTCAACAAGAGTGAAGGTTGAAGGAATTGGGAAGAATTTTAGAGATTGGAGTTCAAGGTAGGTATAATTTACCTAGAATATCCTCTCTAATTGATTTGAGTAGGAACTCTTTATATTCATGTAAGCTAGGCTTTACAAAAAAGGTCTTGTTTATGATAGTTGGTTGATTGGAAGGATGATTCTTGTATTTTGGTTGTTTTGAGCTATTTTGAGAAGGATCACCTCTTGTTCTTTAGTTACACATGTTTTGAACTCACATATGCATCTAGATGGTTATGTATATTTGATAAACCAAGTATAGATAGAAACATAAAAGATTTGAGTTGTGTATATGAATTGGAAAAGGGTTGTAATCTAGTCAAGCTTGTGATTCATGTTTATTGTGATGATATACCATAATATTGAGTTGATTCTTCATATTTTACACCTTGTAACGTGTTGGTTCAGTTGGATTTTTGCGTAAGTTCAGACTGCTCAAAACAAGGTATACGACCGCACGTGCGGGGTTCATGGCCGCATGTGCGGGAAGCACAACCGCACGTGCTGGGCTCATAGCCACATGTGCGGAAAACAGGGGAGGAAAATTTGAGGTTTTGGAATAAAGGCTCCGCACGTGCGGCCCACCCTTCAGCACATGCGATGGAGGGCTTCTGCACGTGCGGCCCAAGGGGAAAAATTTTGTATGTTTCTTTTTCTCTGTTAGACCCTCTGGAACTACTAAAATGTGCATATGAACCTTCTAAAATGCTTGTAATTAAATAAGAGTTGAACGAATCAGATATTGAGTAAAAGAAAAAGACTAAAGAAAGTGACTGACTTATGGGTTGTATGCTGTGTGTAGGTCACGTAGGGACTATTGCTCCTCCACAGCACTGTGTGTAATAGTAGTGTAATGTTGTGTTCCATTTACTTCCGATAATTATCGTTGATATATCGTTACTCGTGAATGGGTTTTGTTCTCGATATGGTGAATAATTGGAACACTTGTATTGTAATATTTGAGCAATGGTATTGTTATAGACCCTCGGTCGTTTTGTTTTGCTATCAATGGGCCCGAGGCCGTTCGGATGTGAGCTACTTATTATTGGCGGCCCTAAGGTCGAGAGAGGTGGGGGCATGCTGATGTCTCACCGACCCTAATATGATATGAATTGTTTATGACTCATGGCCTAAGGCCGAGGGAGGTAGAGACATGTCGATATTCTATCTACCCTCCAATGTTCCAAACAGCTATTGATATGTTGGGTCTAAGGCCGTTCTATATAATGTTGGGCCTGAGGCCGTTTTGGGAGTGAATGCAAGACCAAGACAAGAACATGAAGTATAAGTTTATGTTTATTGTGTTTTATGCTTATTTATATGAACTTCCTTACATTGCTATTACTCAATGAGCCTCACTCATCCTGTATTATGTATATCTATGTTGGTAATCAACCCGGGGGACAGTCCTAGTCCAACTCCAACAGCTCTTTTGTCGACCCCGTTGTGTCAAGCCAATTAAAGTGAAGCCTTTTTGCTGTTGTAGGGTTCCTTTCGTAGCACATAATGTTGGGTCACTAATATTTTTTCAAACGTTGATTAATATGTATGACTTTTCACTCTTTGATGTTTTTGGTTGCACCCCCATTTTTTTGGGCTGAGCTTGTATATGTATATATATAGGTATGACTTATGTATGTGCTACGTTATGTGATGAAAATGTTTTGTGATCCTGGCATTTAAACACTGCTCAATAGACGTCTAATTTGATTGTTAATTGCTTCCGTTTTAGGCCCCGGTATTATATAAGATGTTCATGCACTATTTGATTATTTGGTTTTGAGGCCCATCTCCGGGCCAATCATGCCCAAACTTTTAGGAGCGAGTTTGGGTCGTGACAGAAAAATTGCGATTGTCATATGCACAATAGAATGAATTGATATTGCGCAATGCGAATTCAATTAAAGGACAATCAGTAAACCAATTGTCATACCAGAAGCTTGTGGAATTGCCATTGCCCATGAGCCATTTTGAGTTCAAAAGAAATGATCTCATGAATCTTAGACTAAGCATTGTGAAATGCAAGAATTCTGGGCAATTTCCAAACTCTTATGAGGAAAGAAGAATCACCCATTAAAGCTGTGGAAGTAGGGATTCAAGCATTCATTAAAGCAAAGTAAACGATACACACTATTGGATGAATTCATACTATGCATGAGCATGCTTAAAAATAACTCATATCTTCTCCAGTAGCTTATAAAAAGAATCATACCACACTTCTTTATCATATCCAAAGAAAAAGGGACATATTTTATAAACGAATTTGCAATAAGTTCCTAAATACTGAACTGAATGTAGCTTTCCAATGCAGAGCACGGAAACAAAATGAATCCGTGTGGAGCAAGCTCCGGACCTTGGGCAATCACATCCTGATTCAATGTAAGATTTGATTTGATCTTTCACGGTTAGCTTACTGATGGAATATTTACATTATGTGTTTTTTGGAGTCATAGGGTAGTTTTAGTAACTCTTATATTCTCCAGACAAGTATTGCATGCAATGGTTACCCATGGGTCTTAATTTGTGTCAGGTAATGTTACTGAATATTAATATGTGCTTCATCAAAAATCTAGGATTATTCTTCATAGGCTTATCCTGAATTGGAACAGTCCAGCAGCCAATGAAAACGTGCAACATATTCTTTTCATTGACAGGGTTGAGTTTAGAGAATTGAGGATTATGTGACGTGGGATGCAACCCAATCTCAGGATGTGATACCAGAGAGGTCCTAGCTCTAATGCCCAAATATACTAATGCACAAAAAGATGGAAGGTGAATGTGACCTAAGCTGCTGGGCTGTCTCTTAGATAACCACTGAATAGAGTTCCTTTGTTGAACTAACAATACTTTCAAAATGTAAAAACAAGAATACTGATCAGGCTTATGAACTTTAACAGTTATCTCAAATTATTCGTAATGTGCCAATATATAGTCAAAACCAACAAACAAAGTTTGCTACAACATCAGGGACATATTACTTAAAATTAATAGGTAAGCTCACAAACTCAACTACTCTGTTCCAAAGTATGTTAAATGAATAGCTCCACAAACGATCAAAAACTACAATGCTTTCATAAACCTGTATGCAAAGGCATGTGCTTAAGCACCTTGCTTATTAAACTTTAGCTTAAAGAACCCTCCGCGTCATATAGTTACATTTAAAGAGTCATCCTTAGTCCAATGGTCCTGGAAGCTTACAGAGTGCAAACCTCTCAGTAGAATCAAGGCTAAGTGCAATCTGAATTGTGATCATAAATTATTGTCATACTATGAAGCATAAATATGAAAACTTGATATCATAAAGATAAACGAGATGGATATGTTGATACCACAAATTCAAAAGGAGAAGATCTATTTTTGCAAACACAAAACAATTCATTTTATACGCGGTAGGACAATAATCAACTTCCACAAGGTTTAGAAATGTAGTAGTTGTACATGGCTTTGTAATTATATGTTCAACTATATTTCTTAAAGAAAACATTAAATACACTATTCATGTATTTCCACAAATGAACTCAGATAGAGGACAAAATCAATGCAATTCACCTTTGTCAAATCTAAATTCTTCTTCTTAAAGAAATAACCTAAAATACTTTTCCAATACTTACGCACTTAATATACCAGAATGTTGCCCCTTAATATCCAAGATGTGTTGAGCATGTCCTGCAGTATGAAAAGCTTTTGGATTACATGTTTGCAACTAAAATTTTATTTTCAAAACACAAAAAAATTTAGAATAACGAACATACCGAAGAGCATCCAAAGTTTACAACACCTAATACAAGATGTCATTGGAAGCATGTCAAGCTTATTCTATTTGTTGTGTTGGACCATGTCTTCATAAGTATGCAGAATGTGAAGTTTATTCAACTCTTTGTTGTAATGGATGGTAGGCATATCAACCCAGTTGTAGTTAAATTATATAATGGACCAAATAAGAAAATTTTGACCCAAATTAAAGCCTGAATTTTAGGCCCAAATTAAATATTACAGTAATTTGTGACTTTCAAAGCATGGCTTGGAGCCCAAACCTTATCAATATATTAATTAATTTGCTCGATTTACATTTTCAGAAACTATTTTTAAACGAATTTTCATTTGTCTTTAATGAATTTTGTTCATCAAGATTAGATGTATCTAAAAAGTAAAAAGGGAACTACATGCAGGTGGGAGAAGGGGAAAAAAAATTACAAGCACATGGGGTGCAACCGTGTCTGTGGTGGGGTGCAAATAAAAGACTATGAGGTGCAAATGTCACATGCACCCCTCAATGTGTCAGTAATTTTTTTTCTCTTCTCCCACCGGCATGTAATTCCCCCAAAAGTAAAAAGGTTTAATTAAAATATTAAAAAAAATTCATTAAAAACTAACAAAAATTCAAACAAAAATCATTCACTACAAATCATTCACTAAAAACAAACGAAAACCCTGAATTTTCGTTTATTTTTAGTATTTTTTTTTTAATAAATATTTTAGCCAATTTATTAGATGCAACTAAAAAGTAAAAATATATATAATTAAAATATAAAAAAAATACTAAAAACATAAAAATTCATCTAAAAACTGTTTTTGAAAAATCAAACCAAACACACCAAATCTGTTATTTCCAACTTTGCTTTAACATAAAAAACTTGAACAATACAAATATGAATTGAGGTGGTTCATTTCATGCACTGTAACCCAGTAAGCAGAGTCAGAATATGAAACCCAAAACATGTATTTGTAGTGTAAGATAACAATCTGAGAAGAATTACGTGTTTCATGATTCTAATGTGTGTCTAAAGATCCTATAAATGGATAATCATTCTCCAAAATTGACCCAAAAAATTTGGTATTCATACTTGTGCAGACTACTTAATTCAAAGAAACATAAGAAAATTCTATGGAATTATAGTGCTGGCTCAAGAACATCATGCACAGGAAATCAACCAATTGCGAATAGAAAGATAACAGTCAAAGCAAGGTGGATAGCTTGTACTAAAATTTTGGCTTCTACCCCAACCCCAAATTTGATTGCAACCTTGAGAATTCTTTGGAATAAATCACAGTTCAAACTCGTCTTCAAGTTTCAATGCTTCAGCAGCAGCTTCCTCCTCTTCATCATCGACCACAAAATACGGATTATGTGCCTCGGGCTTGAACTTATAACCAGTAAACACATAGAAGGCAAGTGTTGCCAATTCCCCAGCCACCACACTGGTCCAAAGATACCTATAAGAGGTAATTGTCTCCAATGCATATACCACAACCCTTGTGAAATAAATGTAGCAAATAACCACAATATAATATTGGCGAAACAGAGTCAATTTCATCAAATTTACAGCTGCTTTGCCATCAGTGCGCGCCGCCTCGCGCAAATTCTTAATTGACCACACAATTGGGAACAAAACAGCGCAGCAACAAACAACATCAACTAACAGAAACACCTGTCTCCAAGTAACCCAATCCTGTCCAAAGGGCCCGGTCTCATCGATCACAACCTGAGCTATATTCGCAACAACCTGAAGTGGAATCACAATCATCAAAACCCTCTTTTCCTTATCCTGTAAATAGGGTTTCAAGAACGACCAACCAGTCCCGATCAACACAATCAGAGTAAACAAAGTAATTCCTTTCAAAAAACTGAATATGTAGAACAAAACATCCCAACCGTGTGCACTACCGGTTCGCTTAATGTACGATTTGTCTTCAGCCTCACACAAGAGGTTCAATGCTTTCATGACCAAAACAGCGAGCATGAAGAAATGAATTCCGAACACAGTCAAACGCTTCTTATACAGAACGCATATCCAAACAGCAGCCAAAGTGAAATATGTAAGCGAGAACAGGAAATATACCATGGGGAGAACAGTCCTACCGGCCGATAAATAGTCGCGGCGATCGGTCTTTGCATCGAGATTGTACATTGCGGATCGAACGTTCATCGAGACCTTCATCTGTGGAAGGCAATTAGCGAAGACGAGGGTGTACTGATCGGCATCTTTGTGGAGATACAGGGTATCGAAACTGTTGGCAGTGTTGAGGGAATCGAAAATGTAGACTTTCTTGATGAGAGTGGAATGGAGAGCACAGTTGATCTCAGCGTCTTCGATCTGTTGAAGGACCTGAGGCCATGAAGCTCTGGTGCAGAGGAAGAAGCCGAGCTTGGAACGGTCGAGGTCTGGGCTAGGGTTTGAGAGGGAGATCTGAGAGACATTGAGCTCCAGGCGACCTTGGTTGGTGAATCCGAACTCGTCGAAGGGGATGATGGGCCGATCGTCGGATCGGATCTCGGTGAAACGGATCTCGGCGAAGCATGGTGAGGAGAGAGAGAGGAAGATGATGAGGATGAGAGAGAAAGAAGTAACGTCCATGGTATACCAATATCTATCTATCTATCTGAGAAGTGCTTTTCAGATCTCAGGCCTGTGAGGGATTCTCTTTTCCTTCATGAATACCATAAGATTGAAGAAACTGAAGCCAATTTATAAATTGTGAATATTATTTGCGTTAACACTCACTCACGCACTCAAATATTCGGGAATAATTTATATCTTCAGTTGATTTCATAATAAGAATATTTAAAAAAATCAATGGTCTCATATTTTCATGAATTTTTATTGATAAGAATTTTTCTTGTAATAATTTTTATCTATGAAAGATCTAAGCTATTTGATTTTAACTTTACTTAAATAAATAAATTTATATGTGATATATATGGTATAGTATAAAAAATTAAAAATTAGTTTCAACTTGGAAAAAATCAACTTACATGCGTGCTATTCAAGTTATAAAACTAAATTATTTGAGTTTCATAAATTTGAAGGTTATATAAACTAAAGTTAAATAAATTTACAAGTTTATTAAGTTTTGGATAAATTATATTTTAACTCCACGAACTACAATTAACTACAATTATGTATTAGTTACTAGTGTAAAATCCGTGTTATACATGAGAGAGACTAAATCTTATATGTAAATTAAAAAAAGGAGCTGCTATTATCACTATATTTTGCTCTAAATATACTATATTCTTTGTCTTTATTATACGTAAAAGGAAGTATATTTAGAGCAAAATGAAATGAAAATAGTAACTATATATAATAAGAACAAATAAGACAGTGTGTTTTTAACAAAATAGAATGAGAATAGCAGCTCCTTTAAAAAATAATCAAACATTTTAATATATATATATATATTGCGCAATCTAATTGTTTGAGATTTATTTATTTATTATATTTTTCAACTTTTTACGAGAAAATGTGCAAAGATAATGTGACATAAATAAGTGCACTTATTTAAATTATTTCCAAACAACCCATTACTTTATATTTGTCCTTATTTTTAATATTTTACTATAAATATTTCAATTTGTTATAATACTAAAATTTGAAAGTAAAAAAGATATATTATTTTAGTTGTGGTGTAAATCTAATATGATGGTATTAGTAGATTTTGATTCTGATAGAGATCTAGCGTGGTAATTCTTAGTAGTGCAATATAGATTTAGATTAGTGATTCAAGATTTTTGATACATCAAAATTAAGTTTTATTTTGTTGGGTCTTTGAAATTTTGAGTATTATGCAATAAAAAAAATTTGAATTGTTTTTTAGTGAACTTTGGGTGACAAAGGACTTGTTTGACATGATCTAAAAATGTCAAAAAGTCACATAATCTTATTTAAGTCACATCATCTCTCTAACACATCATTTCAAACTCAACTCATACCTAATTCATATTTCATAAAAAGTCAAAAAATATATTTATTTAAATTATCTCAAACCACTCCAAAATAAATAGTCTAATGGTTATGAAAATTTTTAAATTTATTTTATTTAATCAAATAGTTATGCCATCCACATCGACTCTCCCTGTTGGCTTGTGTTTAAAGTATGCAAATGAGTGTGTTAGAGGTTTCTTTTCTTTTCCTTTTTTTGTTTTTTTTTGCCACCATCTAGGAAAAAAATAGGTCTATTAGACAGAAGGACTCATGCATCTCAGGGAGGACCAACCGTTCTTTTCTTTTTTTGGGAAACTATAATATATACTTTTTTTAAAAGATTTTTTTTTAAAAAAAAATTCATGATATTAAGATTTTATATTATAAAGGATACTTAATATTTTTATAATATCTAAGGTCCCTCAACATCAATTCAGAAAAAATTCGATTCAGAAAATTTCTCTGGATGGATTTTCTCTGGACTTCACAGAGAAATTTTGGTTCACAGAGAATTTCTCTAGATGAATTTTCTCTGGACTTCACAAAGAAATTCTAGTTCACAAGGCTTCATTATTATTGAGAATTTCTCTAGACTTTAAATTTGAATTGTTGAGAATTTCTCTGGACTACAAATCTGTAATTTATTGCAGGGTGCATTCACAAGGCTTTAAAATTTCTCTGCTTTGTTCTTATCTGATCCAGAGAAAATTCAAAGTACTCAAGAGAAATTCAAAATTTCTTTGCTTTGTTCTTATCTGATCCAAAGAAAATTCAAACCACTCCAGAGAAATTCAAAATTTCTCTACTTTGTTCTTACCTATTTTAGAGAAAATTTAAACCACTCTAGAGAAATTCTTTGATAGCCTTCATCATCATCATCATCATCATCTTCTTTCTATATCAAATAAACAGCTGTAACAGCATCATGAAAGCCATAAAAGCAATAACACTTTGATAGCATCAACACAAATGCACAACAAGACAAATGATTAACTGGAGGTAGCATGAGGCAATAACAGTATCAACTCCACCCATCAATAGCACGATTTGACCCTTCTAGAATAAGCTAGACAACAAGCAGATACAACAACTGCAAACTAGCCACCTATGATCTCACTTGAGTCAACAACAACTCAAAGAAAAGAGAAAAAACACAGTCACAACTCTAGAGAAATTTTGGGAATCCACATTTCTTTGGACTGGACTTCTCAGAGAAATTCAACAGACTTGATCATCTTCAAACAATCTCTCTATGAGCACTTCTCTTCCAAGCTCTTCAACGCATCGTGCATTAAGCTATATAAACGATAAATGATCAAAGAGTTCTAAGAAACTCACAAGAAAAATAGGTGAAAATAACTTGTTCAATATAAAAACACATAAAAAACACAACATAAAAGTCTAGAGAAATTTGTAAAAATTATAATTTTCTCTGGATTGTAATAACAAGCTTTTAATTTTCTTTGGACTCAAATAAAAGTCTAGAGAAATTCACTTTCAAGATAAAAAACACATTAACATCAAAAGACAAAAATGCTCTTTCTCTTCACTTTACCAAGAAAAAGAGAAAGAAAGTGAGAAAAAATCCATGGGCATGAAGTTCTATGATTTCATCATCATCATCATCATCTTCTTTTTCTTCTTCTTTTTCTCTTTCTTATTCTTCTGTAATGTTTGTAGGACTAAAATCAAACTCAACTAGAGATCCAATTTCAACAAAAATTGACCATATGCCTTAAGTACATCATATTGATCGTGAAAGTTTTCATCATACAGACTGCAACATTCATCCAAGAAGAAAACACAATTCTTCCCTTTGCATCCATCGAAATCTACAACAAAAAAAGAGTAAGAGCAATCTGTACCCACCAACAATACTCTCTTATCCAAATCTGTCACTTCAGCCCATTTATGCTTTTCTTCATTCAGCTTATAAACCTTGAAGCGAACAGAGAAATTCTAGGTAGGTCAAAGAATTTCTCTCCAGAGAAATTTTAGGAAGGCTAGAGAAATTCTCTGGATTTCAGTTTAGAGATTTTTTCTGGATTTCTATAGAATTTCTCTAGATTTTCTCTAAATTTTCTTCGAATTTTTGAATCGCGAAATATAAGATATTGGGGCAAAAAAAAAAAAGAAAAAGTAAATAGGTATTTAACCATGTTAAAAAATCAAATCACCACTGTCACCAAATATATGACATACCCAGAGTTGATGAAAAACAAATAGGTATTTAACCATGCTAAAAAAATTCAAAAATTGAACTTTAAACAAAACACATTACCAGTAAGATCAGTCTCAACTTCATCTCATTTGTCGCTATCCCGAAATTGCGATTGTCTTCTCCATTCACCAATTTCTGCAAAAAAAAACACTTGGCAGCGTCAAACTTAAACCCTAAATCAAATTCTTCAAACATAAAAAAAAAAGAGTAAATACTTCAAAATTCAAAATTCAATCAACTATACATATATACAGATATATACAAAATTGCAAGCTGTTTGTCTCAGACCTTCGGGATTGGAATTGGAGTCGCCATCGTCGGTGTCATTGACACTGTAATCAAACTCCTCAGCACTGATGTTGAGCCATTTGCATATTACAATCTTGGGCCAGAACAACTATAGGTAGGTGCAACCAAAACAACATATTTCAGCCCAACTTCTCTGCTATTCCTCTTAAGTCATCGCAAAGAAAGAAAAACAACAGCCCCAGATATTCAAAGAATTCTAGAGAGAGAAAGCATATACATACATATATATACACATACATACACACACACACACACACATAGAGAGAGAGAGAGAGAGAGAGATGAGGTTTGATTTGAGATAGTCAAATTTCTCTGTGATTTATGAGTGTGCGGTTGAGGGACTTTAGACATAATAAAATAACATTGTGGATCTCTTCCATTACTAAAAATGGGAGAGGAACTTTAGACTAATTTTCTCTTTTAAAAATAGTATACCATATGTATTCCTAATTATATTATTTTTTGCTTTAGTTATAATTAATTTTCTTTTTTAGTATGACATTATTTTAGTTATAACTTATAAGTTCATTAGTTATACCTCATGCTGTGCTTAGTTATGATATTTTTCTTTTTTTAGTTATGACTCGAAAAATTAAAATTATGTCATTTTTCTTTTTAATTATAAATTGCATATGGTACACACCCGTTGAAGGGTGTATACCATAGTGTTTCCCTTTCTTTTTTTTGGATAGAAAAAGAAAGTTTCGTTAACATAAATAAGGTGCACTACTAGAAAACATATTTTTTGAGTTGGTAGATTGCTGTTGCAAAAAGTATAATTGCCGATGCAAAACTTTTTGCGATGGCGTTTCGATGGCATGGTAAGGGAAGATTGCAGTGGGGTCACTACAAGTTTTTGAGTCGGCTATGATGCCGTCTCCGCATTTTTGTGATGGTAAAGAGCATTAATTGAGACGATCGCTTGCCATTGCAAAAAAATGATGAAAATCACTTATGTTCGTGTCTGCAAATATGCTGTCTCTAATACTATTATTGTATCGGTACATTACCGTCGCTATAATTTTTTTTTTTGCGTCTGTAGTTTGACAACTCTAAAAAAATTCATCTCTAAACATTGTTTTCTTGTCACAACCAAACCTGGTACCCAAAGGTTTGGCGTTGCAACAAATAAAATAATTTTAAGATTTCTGTATTAGTAGCGCAAGCGGAAAAAAAAATTAATAAATCAAAATAAAATAAATGGATACCAAGAAGTTTATTTAAAGGAAAAATAGTCATTTTGGTTTTATTTTATTACAAGAGTCTGATTAGGATTACAGATAGTAAGTAAATAAAAAATAAAATAAAATAAAATGTTGCAATTTATTTCCCATCTCGATCTTGCTAAATCTCGTCACCTAAAAGGGATAACAGCCATAAGCACATAGCAAAGTGAGAAATATTATGTCAAAAGTATATGGGACACAAAATAACCATGGATAGTTATATAAACTAAAATATTTAAAATAACTTAGTTTGAAACAAATAATCATTTAAGTAGCAAAACTAAGATTATATAAATAACTAACCATAACCACGGTACAGAACAGAACAAAACAGAAGTCATTGAAGTGACAAACATAACAAAGGTCAATGGATCTATGACAAATAGGGGGCCACAACCAATGGTTTATTTAAGTCTCGTAAGGCATGACACTCCCGTGGTGATACTCACAGAAAATAATGATTTATAAAATTATTATCAAATAATTTCTAAAATCTAAACAAATATATTCATGAAGTTCAATTTAAACAAATAAAGTTCAGAAAAAAATTTCATGTAATTGAAACATTAACATAACCATAGAACATAAAGTATATAAAATAAATTTTGATAACTCAAAACATTCGTAAAATATATTATAGTGACTCAAGACATATATAAAACATAACATGGTGACTTAAAGTATAATATAACTCACCTTAAAATTATTCCTAAATTAATCTTGATTCACTTCCTGTTTCTGAGACTCTCCTACAAACTAGATCCTTGCTTGATTTTTTTCCTACTACAGCACCAACCCTCACTATTTATACATGACTAAGTGCGAAGCCCAAGCAACTATTCGTATACATATGAGCTGCCAGCAATTGATTCATACCCGTAGGAGCTGCCACTTGTCCTTGACCCTTAGTCCTTGACCCTTAGTTTTTACCTCAGGAATTGTTCAAGAGCCACTTTGGCTCACCAAAACTTTTACTTGGCTTTTTTACCATTCTAAAGATTATTTTTACCTTCTTCGGTAAACAATGATCCCTACTAAAGGTTATTACCTTCTTCGGTAATTCATAATAATTTTTAAAATTATGTATGATTATAAATTAGGTTCACATTTAAAAATCTCACTAACATTATAAAAAATCATTTACAACTTATAAAATATATTAATATTTAAAAAGTGTAATGTCTTACAATCTACAACTTTCTAAACCATGCATTTTTTTTTGATATAATATGGAATTCTATTTAGTTATAATTATTATGTATATATATATATATATGTTATATTTTCTCTACTCATGATTAGTTGATATTAACACAGTATTGATTTAAATTAAAATTCAGATGTCACATTTTCTTGTATACGTTTTTGAGACTATTAGTTGTTGTCTCAAAAAACAAATTATAAAATAAATACCTTTTGCAACAAAATTAATCATCACAAATAAATATTTATTTTTCATAAAAAAGTTATTTTGTTTTTGCTAATTAATACCTTTTTTCTGTTGATTCAAATCCAATAAAATATATATATATATATATATATATACATTCATTCAAAAACAAAAAATGTTTACACAAATTCAGTCATCATCTTAGCTTCATTGACATCAAAATATTAACAAAAATTTGTTTAATCAATACAGACCATAATATAGCAATATGTTGTAAATATCAAGTACAAAAAGCTTGACATCTAAAACCATAATATAATATGTCCAAAAATAAAATTAGCTTCCATGCCACCATTAATTCATCCATTCATCAGTCAGAAATTAGTTAGTCTTCATGCAAAACCTGAAAACAAAAACAAATTAAATCAAATATTAAGTTATATAATATATATATAGCTTCACCAAGTCATAAACTTAATTTAAGCATGCTTTACAATTTTAGCAGGACACTCCCTAGCTAATACTATTGGGCTTCACTGAATATAATCAAATTTTCTAGATTATATTGTAGGTACCTGTGTGGGTGAAAATCTGACCACACTGTTTGCCTAGTAATCAGTTGGAGAGCACCGGCAAAATAGATGGCTTTGACAAACCTGTAACAAAAAGAAAAGGCTCCGGTGGTGGCTCTTCCACCCGGGGGCATTCCGACGATCAAGTCAGTATATCTCTCAAAGATAATCAAGTGCTAAACTCACAAGCTTGAGTATAAAACTGCATACCTTAGACCCACGGGGGTGCCTCTCTTTTATAGTTTACTCAATCCAAGTCCCACTAGAAGCTTGATTTCTATGGACTCCAATTCAATATTTACTTTGGACTCTTCAAGAGATAAAGATAAACTTCCTAAGAGCTTTATCCTTATCTTGGCTAAGTCTTCTCTTTACTCTAGGACTCTTGTCCCTTATCCGCTTATCTCGGATTCCGATATCTTCGGAGATAACATCGGCCTTGCCAAGATAACCTCGGCATAACTTCCTCGACACGTGGCACCTTGGCTGATATGTCGGTGTCACCATGCCACGCGTTGGTACTCAGAAAATATATCTCCACAACTGCCCCCTAGGTTCTATTACCTCGGCATTTCTGAGGTGATGGAACCTATATCTGTATTGTCTTCTATTACCTCGGCGTAAGAACTCTTCGGCCGAGATTGTCAAGCCGATATGTCTTGTTTTCAAGAACAAGAACTCGAATGAACTTTCCCACGCACATGAGCTGTCATGCATCACTTCTCAACCGTTTCTCTTACGCGTCTTTACCTTATTGGTGTGTGCCTGCGACGCGCTCATTAGCCGTCATAATCTGTCTGCGCCGTCTGACGCATGCGGTTTTCCAGGCGCAATAATTGCCTTATTTTGCCGCCGTTTTACGTTTTCAACAATGACACTATCTTTTGCTTTTGTCTATTCACTTTTACATCTAAGTTCTTTTGCTTTTTTCTCTCTCTAAAACTTTTTCTCTCGAATCCGCCATTGCTGAAGCTCCAAGCTCTGTATCTGTCTTCCTGGTGGAACTTTCGTCGTTCTGCCACATCTGTAACTACCGATTGACTTCGGCAGTTCTCACATCGGCTTCATTCTTTTCGGTAAGCAACTGTTCCTTCTGATTTCAATTTTCGACCATTTCTGGAATCTCCTGTTATTACTGCCTTGTTCAAATATTTATTTTGTGAATCATACACTTGAATGTGTTTACTCCTTGATTTGGCCCTTGCCTATATCTTAAACACACGCACCATTGCACTACTCCACTGTATTTTTGCCACTGATCTTGGTCCTTTATTTCTCGTATACTTCATGTTCTTGATAGCCCATCTCTGTTCTTGTTTCTGAAATTTCGCCTTTGTTTTCTATTTTTTGTGTCTTTGCCAGATCGCTGCCCTCGATTTTTTGCTTTCAATCTTTGCCTTCATAGATTTAGGTTTGGGATTTGTCTATTGAACCTGTCAATTCTTAGGAAAAAACTGAAACAATCCTTATCAGTATATACCTAGGGTTTCGCCGAGGTCCTGATAACCCTTTAAGAGCATCTTCTTTCTGAAACCTAGCCTTCTGATTTTAGGCCGACGTTATGGGTATGTGGAGACATAGGGTAGACACCCCGACCAAACTTGAGTACTTTAGGCAAGAGTTCTCTATTCCTACCGATGTCCATCTGAGGCTGGCTGTAGATAACGACTCCATCATGCCCACAGATGATTCAATGCCCTTTCCCATAGTAGCTTTTACTGAGTGCGGACTCTGGCTGCCACTTAACATTCTCTTTCGCGAAATTTTTCACTTTTACAAGTTGAACCCTATGCAACTTGCCATAAACTCTTATCGAGTGATCAATGGCATCATAGCTTTAGCTAGGCAGGAGAACGCTAGGATCACCCCGGATGACATTCAGTACTGTTATACCATGTGCCCCCTTAACCTGAAGGAAAAAGGCTTCGTTTATTATCTTAAGCCGAGGTCAACTGAATAGAAAATCGTAGCCGACCTCCCAGACTCCAACAAGGGGGCTGGAGATGACTATGTTATTTCTTCGGGCAATTGGGAGTTTGGCGCAGATGAGGACGCCCATCTCTACCCTCTTTC